ATAAAAACGTGCATTACGTCTAAATTAACTCATATAAATCAAATATAATTTCGTAAATTGCATAAACAATTATGAACAAAACAGCATTATGTAGTTGCATCATGCTTAATACAAAGAGTCGAATCGCCCATCATGCAGATTGCATTTAAAAACATGAGACGCAGTGAAAAGGAATAAAACTCCACAAATTCGCGACGTGTTTTCTAAAAGTTTAAACTATTTTAACTTTGCATGTCTACATCTCTTGTGTGAGACGCGAGTGCAGCAGTCATATTTGTCCGTCAAAATGCGCTGAATATGCATCTGTGTGAATGGCTTGGTTTCGGTTTTTACCTAACCAAGATCTGACTTCTCTGCAAAAGAGTGAAAAATGTAAGAGGGTCTGAATACTTTCCGTACCCACTGTATATCGTGCACTATATCGAAAAATGTTTCTATCGTAATCGAAGGTGTACCGTCGATAAATATCGATACCGTTTTATCGCCCAGACCTATTTGACTACTGTATTTGTTGTTGTTGTTTAAAAAACGTTATGCCAAACTATTGACCCACAATGACCCAAATAGTCCTGACGCCAACAAAGTTGAAGTTTGAGTTGAATTGTCATTTTTGTTCTGAAATTTTAAAGGGTTTATTTATGTAATGGTGTGAGTTTGGTCAGGACAACCTGTTTGTCCATTGGGAAAATTGGGAAATATTTTTGAAGTTCCATTCAGTGCCACTAGTACCATACAAATGACATGCTTCACATAAAAAAAATAAATGTAATTAAATAAAAAATAAAAAAACATGGTTCCTGCACTTGGACACATTCATGTACTAGTGATGGTCCACCTAACTCTTTGTAGAATATTGTAGAGTCACATCCATGTATTGAGAGAAAGAACAGCAGAATAATACATCAGCTAAAAATACAGAAAATCTCTCAAGGATATCGGCCTACTAAAGAAGCTGCAATGTTGTTGCCATAGAAACCTCAGCATCCATTCATGGTAAAATGCTGGCTAAGACAAACACAGAGCATCTCTGTCTGTCTGTCTCTGTCTTTGTCATGTTCCTTCCACCTCACTAGTGTTTCTCTTTCTTTCTCTTGAAAGCTGTAGAGCCCGGCATAATTTATGCCACATTTCTAACATTAAAGGAATGGACTGTGGGCACAAACAGTGGGTATAGAAAATAATCCCTTTAAAATAATCACATTTTGTTGCTTTGCAGCCTGAAATGGAGATGGACACAGATTTTGTTTTATCCAGCTGTATTTACTCAGTGCAACTCATGTCAGAAAAATATCCGAATCTTTAAGGTGCGGTTTGGCAAAGCTCAGTCTGACTGCATGTGGCCTTTCTTGTTTCTTGAGTGGCTTTTTTCTTGCAACCCTCCCATACAAGCCACATTAGTGGAGAATTTGTGATATTGTTGTCACATGCACACAATGACCACTAGGGATGTAACAATTAACCGTTAGCTGGTCGTAAATCGATTCAAATATGTAACGATTCAAATTGGTTGAGATGCCAAACAAACCGCGATACAATTGGAGTTTATATGAATGTATCTCTGAGGGGAACTGACTGCCTTTAGAAAAGTTTACGTGGTATTTTCTTTTCATCTTGCCTCTGAACGATGCATATTACAGTAGTGTTCAAAAGCGCTGTGCGTCTGTCCACAACTTTATCCCAGAGATCTTTTGACAGTGTCTTGCCACCCATAGTTGATTGTTTGCTTCAGTTGCACTACCAAGGGCTGAAATGCTCCAGGAAAGCTCTTTTCATGCTGAGCTGATCAAAATGACCACAGCTGATCACAGTTGAAAGTCAAATGGCTTTGTGTGCCATTGAGAATGTGATCAGCTACGCCTGATTGAGTTTACAAGGCATGATTTTTAGGAGGGGGTGATCCTTTTTCCAATTCAGTGATTCTGTTTTTTAATTTTTTTTATGACATGTTGGTGTTATATCTTTTACTTGGATGTTATAAGTTGCTCTGAGTAAATACAGCTGGATAAAACAAAAACTGTGTCCATCTTCATCTCAGGCTGCAAAGCAACAAAATGTGATTATTTTAAAGGGGGGGGGGATCCTTTCTATACCCACTGTATTTGCGCTCAGCTGAAACATTTCACATATTTTCATCTGTGTATTTGAACATGGTCTACCCTAAACACACTCACTCACACTCCACCACAAGCATCTCTACATTTTTGGGTGTAGACTGGTTTTATAGTGATTCACATGTTTCTTAAGATGGCAGAGGCTGTTTTAACCGATGTCCAGTCTGACCACGTGTTGTGGCTTGAGAGTAGCTGTTTGAGAGGGTTAGTCATAGAAAGAACCACCTAATCATCCATTGAGGCCCTTTGATTATGTAACAACTCAACAAAGCTAGTCTATATGCTGTTTCCATGGTGATCGGACCCGCTCTGTGTGTGTGTGTGTGTGTGTGTGTGTGTGTGTGTGTGTGTGTTACACACACTCCTGTGCTCACTTTTCAATACATGAAAT